ATGGTCGTGTCTTTGGACGCGATTGCCCAGTGGTCTGTAAATCCCTCTGCTCTGGCAGTGTTTAGAGGGGCTCTCTCAAGCCTGGTTCCTTGTAAAATTTGGAGAGGGGAAAAGGCTGCTCCAGCTCCTGCCTGATGAAAGCCAGACTAAGGGCTAGGAGGGAGTACCTCAGACTGTGGGACAGAGAGCGCTGGTGTAAGACTTGCTCCTGCCAGGTGACTAGTCCTCTCAGCTCCCCTTGGATTAGTGATGCTAAAAGTCCTCAGTACTTCACACGCTCCTCCAAAGTCTAACACCGTTGCCCTTCAGTTGACTTGAAGGGAGTTGGGGTCAAGCCTAGAGTGAGTCACGTTCCAGCATGGGGTTGGGGCAGTTCTGGAGGCAGAAAACACACCTTATCTAGCTTCAATACCGAACTTCATAGAAGTATGAGTGAAGGTCATGAGATAGGGCCAGCAGTGAACACTTTAAACAAAAGAGAATTGATTTTTGCAGGGCCTTTCTCTAAATTTAGCTTCACAATTCAGCATTTGACATAAGTGAAACAAGTCCTCAAGTCTTCCTGCAGCGATGGGGAACAGCAGCTCCAGCATTTCCTTCTGGTCTCTGGACAGAGGGATAAGACGAAGCTTTCTTCTGCGCTGAAGGTCTGAAATATGTTTGTAGGAAAGCCGGAAATTCCCTCCCCAACACTTTTTTCCTCCCCCCTAGTTTGAGAGCGGGGGAAGCTTTTTTTAAATGACCTTGCCTGGACATCTCCTATATGCTGTGTGGTTGACCTAGGAGCATTTTATTTCCCACAGATTTTGTTTGAACATGTAATGCACTTCCAGGTCCCGGATGGCTGTATAAAGTTCAGTAAAGGCTCACTCTATTCAGCTGTGCTAGGAGTTTGCAATCCCAATGGGTCAAAATGTTTAGATTTAAAGAGGTTACAGGCTTTTCTGAGTGAGTGTTTAAACGCTATCTGTCAAACCACTTGGGTGGAAGAAGTTTATAGACTCGGCCAGCAGCACACTAAATTGCTCTCTTCTTATCTTTAATTAACTAGCATAGATTGTTTTCGTGTTGCCCTAAAAAGTAATCAATCTATGGCAAATTTATGCCTATCAAAGTTTATAAATTCTAGGTTAAAAATAAAGGATAAAGAAATTCAAGAAGCCACATCCTGACGTGAACTGCATCGAGAAGGCTCTTGGCAAAGGCACCAGAAAGTCTTAGGGGTCTAATTTTTTCCAAAGATCATCTTAGGGGCTTTAAATCTGCTTCATGCTCAGTTTAACTGTGCACAAAAGCCACTTGCAGACTTTGCACGTGAAAGGGAGCATAACGATAAAACAGGCTGAGCTTTTTTCTCACAGCCTAAAGAAAAAAAGATTGAAAATGAGGAAGTTTGGTATCACCATTTTCCAGGAAACCTCAATGTCGTTCCCTGACTCTATTGTTCAGTACCTCTGTACATCACCCAAATCTGATAAATTAAGTGCTTCACCGATTTTTGTTGTCTTTACAAGAGCCCACCTGCAAGCAGCGCAGTAACACAAGGGACATTGCTGAGCACCTGAGACCAGACCACTCCTCTGCTTGTTTTGGTCTGGAGACCACTCCTCCGGCACTTGACAAAGGAGAGGTAGAAGCAAGGCTGCGGTGGAAGCAATGTCAGGTCGAGGACACGACAAGCATTGTTCAAATGATTGTCACTGAAATACCCCAGCCAAGGCAGCTTTTCCACCGCCTTTTTATTAAAAAAAAAAAAAATTCTTTCCATTGAATGGAGACCGATTGCCAAGAAACTGAAAAGAAAGACGGTGCGGGGGCAGGGGGGGGGTGGATTTTTATTCAAACAAGGCTTTCTGTGGCCAAAAGGAGGGTTGAAGCTCAGCTTCCTACAGGCTTGTGGCTGTGGCCTCGGCAGCCCCCGCCGTGAAACGTTTTTCTGTAACAGTGCACAGGCCATTCAAGTCTGCTTCACGCTTCCACATCCACTACAAATACTTAAGATGCCACCTCATCATGTCCGATGCTTTCTCCCTCCTCCCACCGACTCCTCAGCTCTCTCCCCTGCCTCCACCACCTCCCCTGCTGCAGTAGGCTCAGCTTCCCCCTGCGCCCCAGCTTTTTTTTTTTTTTTTTTTTTTTGGCGTGACAGCAAAGCAAGAGGCACCAAAAGCTTGGTTGGATCTTAGCCCCATGCGTGCCGAGGGATGGCTGCCTAACGGGGCAAATAGCAGCCAAGCTCCCCTGTGCTACCAGAGGGTGCCTCCTCTGCCGGGCTGAGCCGGGGAGAGCACGGGGCCAAAACTGGCCAGCGGACTTGAAGGTTAGTGGGGAGAGGGGATGACCCCACCAAGACAGCTGGTGCTTAGGTAAGTCTCACTTAAAGCGTTAAATGGGAGCAAAAAAAAACGAAGGCAGCATTCACTTTGATCAGTGTTCTCAAGCAGATGACTGGAAACGCTGGTAAGAAACGTGAGATGGCTTGTTTGGGGGGATTTCATTTTTTGAAGCTGGAAGATGAACAACAATTAGGCTTTCAATAGGAAAAAAGCACAATGGTAATAATCTTGGTACTTACACCCTCGGTTTTCTTTAGCAGCTACATAAATTAGACACACTCCTAGGACCTTTACCAGTCATATGAAAGAAAAACGTTTATTAGGGCGACACATAGCCAACCCTGCGTTCCCCTCTCAGGTAGGATTGGCCAGAACGCAGGAAGGAAAAGAAAAATCACAGAACCATAGAAAATCTGAGGTTGCAAAGGACCTCTGGAAGTACTCTGAGATGCTTAAATATTACAGCTAAAACTGAACGCAACATAAATACTTGGCTGAACCAGGCTCGAGACTGTTGCTTCCCAAACGCACAACACTCTGGGTGTAATTCTGTTTGCTGTTTATTTTGGTAGCAAGACAAGCACTGGTGCCGCTATTGCACAAGGAGCGAGAAGTCACATGGGAGCAGATGCCGGCACGCTCTTGCGGCTCCCAAAGCTCCAGGCCAAAATAAGAAAGAGAGCCGGCGGTGGTTGCAGAGTTGCCACTTCGTGGGAGCCGCACCTTAAGGCTCAACCTATAGCAGCCCACTGCAGTTCTTCCACACGAGAAACACCCACTCGGCAAGCAGGATAAAAGTAGCATCACGCTGGTTTTAAAGCGTAAGGGAAAGATGAGCAGCTCACCTTTCAAGGAGCTCCATTATGTACACTGCAGGGCCTAGCGGAAGCAAGAAGGAAGCAGAAAGCCAGAGAAGTCTGGCTTGAAGAACTCAAGCTCGTGGAAACTGCTGGTCCAAGTTCTCCCTAAATCACTTTCCCAGCTGGCTCTCTTGCATTTGACTCTGAAAAAGGACACAAGAGAAACCCCTGGGAATCCCAAACTCTCCACAGAATCCAGGCTATACGAATGCCACCAGATTTTGGGACTGAAACCCGTTCACGGGCATCTTCACCAGCTCTTCACTCTCAGCAGTTTCCTGTTAGAAACTGTGGCTGCCTGTGCATGTCACCCCCTTCCCACCCACACACATTCCTTCCAAGCAGTGTTGCTTTATTTGGCTTATTGGCCTTATCTTTTTGTTAAACTGACTTAATTGGTGTATTTAACTCTTTATGTTCCTTAACAGTCCATTTGGTTTCACTTGCTTACTCCAAAAGCAGTCACAGCCTGAAGTATTACATTCCAAAACAGCATCTAAGTTGAGAAAGGTCTTGGCAGTTGCAGGGTTGGACTGTGTTAGGTTCATTAACTCATATACACTTCATAAAACACGAGTCATGACAAGGCAAGCTGGATTTTACCAGCTGCTAAATTGTCAAAGTCAGCACACAACGTGGGTATTTCCAGCAATCAGGGACGCCTCTCTCCAGATTTGCCAACGCTCTAGGGGACCGATCGAGAAATCGTAACTAACTCCAGTCTTTGATAAGGCCCTTAAAAAAAAAAAAAAAACTAAACTAAACAAAGCTGCATTGCCCTACAATGAACCGTACTGCTTTACTGCATCTACTCCAGATCAGAAGAGACCCTCTTCCCGCTGCTTAAACCGCAATTAGTCCACCAAGTAAACTATACACAAACTGAGTCTGCACACCGAGAGCTATCAGGAAGCTAAGGGAAAAAAAACCCAAACAGGAGAGATGCCAGCAAAAGCCCTAATGCTGATGCAGCTATGTTGGGGCAGGGGAAGGGGAAAAAGCAAATAGGAAAAAAAAAAAAAAAGTCCTTTGGCAGCTTGGTTTTGTTTGGGGAACTTTCGCAAGCTCTAAACAAACAAACAAAAAGGCACAACCCGCAGGGCAACGTAAGCTGCATCCAACACTAGGAACTTTGCCAGTATAAATCCCCCCACAAACTTGTTGCTGTGTAGCCAAAGTCTGTCTAGACAAAGTCGAAAGCAGCACACAGCTTCAATACATAAATTTTTAAAAAGTGGGGTTTTCTTGTTTTGGGTGAGTTTTCGTTAGGGTTCTTTGCGGAGGGTTGTTTCGTTTTCCACGAGTTTCTCTCCAAAGATATTAAAAGAGCTTCCGTAAACTGAGCTGGTAAAAACAGCGGGTTCACCGCGGGTGCAGTACTGCTGGCAAAGCTGAGCCCTGTACTTATGCTCAGTAGAGCAGTATAAAGCCAAAAAATCCCTATAATGCCGTATGTAACCTAACACAAAATAGTGTTTTTCTGCAACACCGTGCTCTTGGGAGCAAAGCAGCTAGCAGCGGGGCTGCAGGGAGGCTCTTGCTGAGAAGCGACTCCACGGCGTTCCCCTTCGGATGACAGCAAGGCCTGGCTTCTATCAGAGAAAACAGCGTGTTTCTGACATGTGCTACCAACACGGGTTAAAATCCTAGCATGAACCAGGCAAATTGCAGTTTTAACATGTTAACACGTTCTACCAGGGGAAAAGCCAGAGTATTTTTAGCATGGACTGAGTGTTTGTCTCTCTGCACTGGTCTGGCCTTTTTTGGAATTTTTAACTGTGGAAGCAAATACAATACCCTCTGCGATAGTGAAACACCACCTATTTTCTTTTATTGTTTGCCACAACGGAAGACGGCAAGTCGTACTTCTGAAGACGTTAAAGGAGAAACATAGATCAGGCGCTTTTGACGCAGCTTTCCCCCTTCAAAGCATCAGACAGCTTGCTCATGGTTGCCCTAAATCCTGCACGTCCCCCCTCCACCCCACCAGCCAGTTCTACTTGCAGGTTTAGCTCTGCTGGCATCTCAGTGGAGAAAAACTCTCTCTTCTTTGTAACGTTCAACCCCTGAGCTGTTGTCTGAAGGCATTGCCCTCGCTCTGCTGTTTGGAAGGGCGTGTGTCAGCACAGAGCGGGCATGAAGCATGCTTACTGACCACCTCAAATGCAACTGCCCTTTAGTCCTACCCCTTACGCAGCCACTCAGTGGTTTCCAAGATACTTCAGCGAGGGAAGCTTCTGACCACGGTGCGTTCTTCATCATGTTGAAAAGCCACAACTGCTTTGTTCCCTCAACCACTCAGTGCTGTGGAGAGAGCCCAACAAGTCACAGTTAGGTATAAAGGAGGAGACAGAGCTTAAGCACAAATATAACAAGAAGAACGGACCAAAGGCGAGTCACAGGGCTGGAAGGGAAATTCCACTGAGCAAAGGAGGGACCCTCCCCCTCTGCACTTGCTATTCCAACAGCATCCCCCTTCCTCCTCCCCTCTGCCTGGCATTAGCGCAAGGTGTGCAACACGATCCTAACGAACGGAGGTCCGGCAGCCCACGTTGCACACAGCTGCAATCAGTCTGCCCAGGCACTGGCATCGTCCAAGCTGCACGCAAGTCACCCAGGAAAACAAGACTCTTGAAGGGATAATGGTGAGCAGAAGAGAAGGCTCCTGGGGCTGCAAAAAGGAGACTGTGGTTGATCGGGCGCTCACAGCTGAAGGGAGAGGAGAACAAGCCTTTTGTTTGTCCCAGCTTTTTCTTCTCTTCCTCCTCTTCAGAGTTTGCTGTCACCACCGCTTCTGGAATGGGGGAGGAGACGGGTATGGGGCTGCAGTTAGAAGCTCGGATTCATCTCTCAGGCAGCAGGACGAAGAAGATGGCCTTGAGGAAGTGCCCAAAGCTGCAAATGGCAGCCACAAGCCAGTGAGAGCGAAGGCTGGGGTCGGTATTCACCACACATTTTGTGATGTCTGCCTAAAGGGAAGCAAATGGAGATCATCAATGACGGATGCCCAGAACGACGCTCACAGAACCCCATCAGCACCGCTGCAGACCCCCGGGCACCCCACCACTTCTGCGGCACCATCCCGCAACCAGCTCCAAACACTTGCTCTGGCCTTGCCATGCACTGCAAGTTATTAAATCAGGCTCAAGAGCTCTGCAAAAGGCACTTTCTTCATCCTGCACCAACAAGAAGTATCCCCTTTGCAGCCACACAGAGGAAAAGAAATGCTACAGAAAGACTGCAAGCATTCAGCATTTTGAACAGCAAAATCAAAGAAACTCCTTTTCTTCTCTTTTCAAAAGAGCAAAGAAGCCTTGGCAATATCAGCACTCTCATCCTTTTCCGTATGGACAAGATGCTTCCCAGAGGTTGTCCTGTTTAATATCAGCTCAAGCTGCTTGCACTTTTTTCCTCTTGCCTTAATGTTTTATTTGGAACTCATTCAGGCAAGCCAACCCCAATTTAATTCCTAAGTAATGCAGGCTTTGTTTGTGGAAATGTGTATGCTGGCAGAGATGCCTCCCAGACGCGTGGGTCAGATTTAAAGATCGCTTGGGCAGCTGGTTCCAAGTATTAACAGGAATGGAAGCTGGCCCGCAATGAATAGAAGTATAACAACAGTCCAGCAAATTCATGAAGACAGGATCTCGACTGGCAATATGAGGAGAAGGTGGAAAACATCCAGAGGGCTAAAGTGAACAGGACACAGATGACAGAAAACTGCATCTTTTGGTGGGAGAAACAAACGAAAGTTGTATGAGAAAAATAACCAAGTTTGTGGTTAAACTTCAGCCTAAGACAAGGAGATACGGACTGCAGTTCTGTAATGGAGGGCATGCCAGTAGCAAGTCAACTTGAGAGGGTTTTCAGAAATATCACTGGGAGGCATATGTGAAGGAGAATTTGGTTTCATGTCACAAGCAGGGCAAATATTCATCAGCCCTGAAAGTCTTTTCTCTACAAGCTTAGCTCAGCAGGGCTCCAAGTTTGGTTTCCGACATGAGTCTTTTTATTGACTAAACAGAATAAAGTCATAACCCCAGATCTGAGAGTAAAATGTAACATAAAAACGGCCAAATATTCCTATAATCCTTTCCAGTGTTTCTGTATATGTTCAGGACATCAGTGAGCTGAACCTAACTTACTTGCCTTGGTAATAACTACAAGAAAACAAAAAGGAGGATGGAAGGGACGAATGCAATCCCTGGTGTCTGGTTAGTAAATACAGCAACATTAACCGATTTCTCTGTCATCTACAGGTCAAAGGTTGGCCAACAGCAGCCTCAACAACCTTCTAAGCTGTTCCTCCCTCCCAAGGAAGTCTGAAATGCTGGCACCCCCAATCGTTCTGCATCGCTGTTCTCTGAGGAGCCCTAGGAGACCTTGAGCCCATGAATAACTCACAAGTGGAGACTGCAGGAGGAACAAATACAGCCGCACAAGGAAGTGGGGAAACAGGATGACAAGAGGAAGCTGAAGCAGCACACAGGGTGCTCCCACGGTATGGAAATGTTGCTGCCTATAGCTACAAAAGCACACACAAAGCTAGCAAACAGCTAGGTTAGACCATAGTAGAAGTTGCTACGAAGTAGTACCAGTGGTTATAAGTATATCGTCTCCACTTTTAAGTAAAACAGGTCTATCGGAATGCTTTCAGTGATGGCTTAGCAAATCCACCTTACTTTGCATTGGAAAAAGCCTGAACTGATTCAGCCTGCCCAATTTTAGGTTCCAGCAAGGGTGTCAAGCTGCGTCTTTAGTCAAGAGAGGTTACGATGGACTGGCATCCGTACAGAGATATTCCAATGTTAGGGGAGCTGAGCACTAAGAAACCTAAGATGAACTAGCTCCTAGCTTTAGTGCCTCACATGAACAAGTGCCAGGACCAAATATGCACACTGGGTCGATTACAGCTGTAGAGTGGTAACTTCCAGAGGAGAAAGTGTGAAGTCCTTAAAGCCTACCCAAAGGCAACCACCTCACTGTGGCTCATTGAGAGGAGCTGCTGTCAGAAGCACATACACCACAGCAATCAGTCTGAATAGGTTATCAGTGGCCTGACTGTGCCACCTTCAGTAAGTAGCAGTGCAGGAGTCAGTTCTGCCAAGGCTATCCCTGAACAGAGCCACAAACATGGAGCATATCATTTCCCTGTTCAAACCATTAAATGACCAATTGCGAATTAGGATTTGTAGACAGACTTTTCTGTTCAGTTAGAAAGTCCTGCAAATCCAAATGTTACCAACTGGTATGGCACTTGCTTAAATAAATAAAATTGCTCAGCTATGTAGCAATTGCCTCAACTATTGTTATCCAGATAAAACACACCTGATAAGGCACTGGAATTGAATATCTCAAAACTGCTTCATTAAATAAGTCTTTCAGTCCTGTGAGGTAGTGATAAGCTGTTGCGATGGCAGTTTGATCCTTGCCTGTTAATTATTCATCAAACAAGTTCAAGCTTTGCACTCTTCTTTGTAGCAAATGTATGGCACAGCTGCTAAAATCCTTTCCATTCTACTGCAAAGCCACTACTGAGGCTGCAAACTCTTCCCAGGGGCAGATGATACCTCAAAGGGTTAAATATTTCTTGTTTCCCCTAAGAGGCTTTGGGTTTTGGGAGGGGGTGGGTCTTCTTGGAGGGGCTGGGTCTTCTTGGAGGGGCTGGGTTTTCTTGGAGGGGCTTTCCCTGCCATATAAAGGAGGATTATGGAAACCTACTGCTGACTGGAGGCTTCCAAAAGCCTTTTTAAGACCTCCACATCGGCCTCCCTGAAAAAAGCTCAGAGCACGGTAGTTCCTCTTGGCAGCCTCAACCTGCGCTGATGCATAAGAGATTGGGACCATGTGCACGGCAGAAACATGGACTCCGTGCCAAGACAAACTAACAAACAGCTAGGTCAGGCAGTAGATGAAAGGGTCTCCCGTACAAAGCTGCTGCGTTCTGGCTCCCTCGTGAACAAGGCTGGGAAATCTCATGCTGCAGTGCCTAGATCGAGGGGAGGAACATTCAGGGAACCATAGGACAAGATGGCAACAGGATTTACAGTCTCCCCACAGACAGAAGGAGTTTCTAGAGGGAAGGTGTCTCTTTTCTGCAGCTCAAGGTTGCTGGTAAGGATACTCGAAACAGGCTGTGACCACCACAGTCCAATGGCTATATGCACCAGCCAGCTAAAGAGGAACGAATGGCACGTGGAACGAGTAGTGGGGCAGCAGTTTTCTCCTCAGCTGCAAAGAACCAGTTCTGGTTAGAAGGTAGCTTTCATTAAAATGTTGGAAATGTGCTACACAACGACCATTCCAAAAAAAACCCATCCATTTGGAAGTATCAAAACACTTCATTTTGAAGTCCAAGAATGTAACACAAAAATCAAAACAAGATGTTAACTTATCAAAGCATGCACATTATCAAAACAAAGAGAAATTCAGTTGGAGAATAGGAGGAGATGCACTCCTATGCAACATTTCAATTTTAATGAAACTGGTTTTTTCCAAAGGAAAAACTGTTCCAGGGAAAACATTTCAACCAGCTCTACAGTTACCTACTTCAAAGTCAGCCTCACAGCGATACTAAGGCAGGGATTTCATAGCCAGGAGCCGTGTCACTTAATCAGCCTCTTTCACAGGATATCCTCTTCTCTATCTTGGCACAACTGTTTGTGCAGCCACAAAACGAATCAGATCAGGGCATTCAAATCAAAGGCTACTTTTCAGCCCGACTAAACAGTTCCCTGACCCAGTTTGCCTCAAGGTCACACAAAGTTTTAGAGAGGGCATGGAGTACTTAAGGCAGCAATGACAGGTAGTAAACACACGGGATCCACAATCAGAACGTCACTACTTTCCCAGCTGCCCTCTCTCAGATAGAGGATGGAGAACTCAGGTCACTAAAACTGCTACAGGCACACCTGGAAAGGCTCAGCACGGAGGTCCAAGACTCAGTTTGGAAACAACCACCCTCTGGGTCTGAAAGAGGAGGGGTGCCTTCCCATTTTCTTACAGCTCAGGAATAAATACCACTTCTTGGGAGGGAGGAACTTTGCTGCTGTGGCTCAGTTTGGAAAGGGAACAAGATGTCCCAAGAGCTCTGGGGTGTCACATAGGAATATTTAACTCCAGGCAGCATCTGCCAGGCAGTATTTCTTCCAAAGTGCTTCAGGCTATGCGTCTCCAACGAGTGTCTCTATTCCTGCCAGATAGGCCCAGAGACCAAGAGACGTACAAATATCACCCAGCTTCTGACATCTAAAACAGCTAACCAGCCATCTCAGGCTTCTGGGGAGGTCACTAGAAAGGTGCTACGGAACAGCCAGACACCTAAATAAAGCTCTTACTCTGACCTGTCCTCTGCAGGACCATGGCATTTCCCATAGGCTGCAGAGATAACCTAAAAAGTCCGAGGCTTAAAGCCAGCTAGTGTTTATACCGCACACCAATCTGCAGCAGCACGGTGCCTTACACGCAATTTCAGCATAGACCAGTGAAAGACTCAAGAGCCCTTCCACTGCCAGGCCCCATTGATTGGTGCTATTAGTGCTCTTCAAAAGGCAAGCATGCCATGACTTGAGCTACACTTGAGCTACACCAGAAGTTACTCACAGAGCATTGCCAGGGCCAGGTCAGGAATGGCACGAACTACCAGGTTTTAATAACCCTGTAACATTCTCTCGAGTGGAAGTTACATTAATATACTAACCCTTGACTTGGGCAGCTGTGGGGCAGTTGAAAGGTGAAATTAGTTGGCAAGCTTCATTTATCCACTTTCAAGAAAGCAGCCGCCCAAGCAGTCTCCTGCTATGCCTGGCTGGCAGCTCCAGAGAAGTTAAGGACAGGAATAGAAGAGACATCAGCAGGTCAGGATTGAATTAGTCTGGCACAGTTATGCAGGAAGCTGAGGACTGTAATAGCTGGTGAAGCATGAAGCAGTAACACGGAGGCTAACAGAAGTAGGAGGGTGGTGGCCACAGGACGAATGAGAAGCTCACTCAGTGTCCTTCTGCATAAAGCCCAAGCTGCAGTGTAGACACTCACTTTCACTAACCCGGATATTTTCTGATGTCCATGTGTGGATAGAAGTAAGCATGATCAGATAGTATCTCTTACCCAGCCTCCTCTCCTTTTCAGCCACGTCACCAAGGTCTTGCGGACAAACTCTCCCAGGCAGTCCACAATGGTGTGAACCATAGCTGGCTGCGCATGTCGCACGCAGTCCACAGCCAGTCCAGCTGCCACAGCATAGAGGGACACCACCTTGCCCCACGTTATGCCTATGAGAAGAATAGAGGACATTCAGATTCAAACATGCGTGCACGGCTCAGCCTCGGGCAGTCAAAGAGCACAGTACCAAACAGCTCTCCCTCATTAAACGCGCTTGCTCTGAGTGCCTACTGCAGCCACAGTCCTGCATGCTTTCCCATGGAAGACCAGAAACCTGGGGAGCTGGATTAGGGAAAACTCTCTACCTGGAGAAGGAGAAAGAAGTAATCTGATCTGGAAACGCTTAGATCCCCCCTCAGCCCTGGTTGCACAGCTTCGCAGAAAGCGGTCCAAAGGCGTCACCAAAGTAGGGAAGATGTGCACCACCATTGTTTATATTACTGTCAACTCTCAGCCACGGACATGCTGCCTGGGAGGAGACAGGATTCAAAGGGTTGAAGCAACCTGTAGTTTTTGCCATCAGCCCTTTATACCTTGAAGACAAAGCTTTACCATTTTTTCTTTTGATCAAAGGAGACTGTTCCAAAGCAACACACAAAGCACGTGAGAGATGAGCATCTTCACAGTCAGTTCTACCATGACATGAGAACAAAAGAGGGAGACCAAGAGGGTTGGGGGCCTCCTTGACTTAAGAAGTATGCCTCAGTCTCCTGCTGAAAGGCAGGCACCTTCAAGAGTTTGGTGACACTGTCTGTAATATTTAACATGACACAGCCCACTGAGGGCACTGCAGGGAAGGGAATGTCAGTCAGTTATCTAATCTCCAGTAAAGCAGAACTTCCTGCAAGGTGGACTTGCCAGAAGTGAATGCTCCATGGAAGTTGTCCCAGAAGCAGTCATCTTCCTGTTCGCACTAGTGATAAGTGCCCCACAGCCATGAGCTCAGCTCTGGGTACCAGCCAACCTCCCTGGGTCTCCCCCGCACTTTGCCAGTGCCACTGGGCATAAATCTTCCATGCTGAAACACTGCAGCCAGCAGTCCCTCATCAGGCTTTTTATCAGGACCAGTGACGTGGAAACGCAACCCTTCTGCTCCCATGCAGGAGCACCACTGCAGCACAATAGCACACGGATTTCCTTTGATTCTGCTAGGAGGTTTAATTGCCCCCTTACTTTACTATCTGGAATAGCAGTATTTGACAAGCATGCTGTGAAGTATTTTACAGTGTCAAATTCCTGTGGAGTCTGTCCAAGGTCTGTCCCAGACTTAGGCAGAAGTCAGGTGAAGTTTCAGAAGTTTAAAAGTACCCAAAACTGCTCTCACTGGGTTGCGACCAGAAAGAAAACAGGTGCGAGGAAGGAAGGATTTCAGTCAGTATATCTAAGGAGTAGAAGGGGTTAAAAACATGATCAAGAAACTGGATATGCTCAGCAATCTATCAGCTAGGAAAGCAAATCCTTAAATACAAGCTGAATGAATCAAAGTCGCTGCCTCTTTCCTTCATATCATTCCCAAATCCCTAAGCACCCAGAACCTCTCTCTACAGGGTGGGGCTTAAAAGTCACACTGCAGCAGCTCCCCGTGTCCTTTTACAATACATACAAGTGTCAACAGAATGATCCTTCCACTTAACGCCTCCAAAGTGAGGCTCACGCTAACACTTCTAGTTTTAAGTGCAAAACTTTAAAAAACCTATTTAAATGCCAACCACAGGAATGAGATTTGTTAGACTGAAGAAAATCCATTCACTGTTCCAAGCAAAGCCATTTGTCCACTGATGACTGATACGAGATCCAAATCTACAGAAGATACTCTTGCGAAGCCTGTAACAACAATAACTCTGCAGCGGTT